CCTCCCGTACGAGGCGCCACCCTCTCAGCCCAGAAACACAAAGCGAGCGGAGCACGCACCTCGCGGGCCGCGGGTCCGCGAGGGTCTCGTAGCCGCGCGCCAGCAGCGTCTTGTAGGCCTCCGCCTGGTACGGCGTCACGCCCACCGGCAGCTGCACCTCCGCCACAGGCGCCGGCGGCAGCGGCCGCAGCTCGGCCGCCGCGCGGCGGAGCGTGTGGGGGGCCAGCAGCTGCGAGAGCCAGACGGACTGCGGTGGGGGGGGGGTCGGGAGATGGGGGCTCAGGCCAGGGGGCTGACGTGGGCAGGTCGTGATGGGTGCGCACGTGCAGAGCGATCACCCAGGGGGTGAGCTGCCCCGCCCTCGCTCACAGATAAAAGGCGGGAGCCCCTGCTTGTGCAGGGGCACGCGCCTTCAGGCAGCCTGTTGCCCTCCCAGGATTGACTCCCCAGTGACGGCCAGCACCAAATCCCGGGTCAGATCACTAGTCCATCCATCAAGACGAGCAGACATGCCCCGGCGCGACCGCCACAACCGCCGTCAACCGCCCACCTGCGCCTCCGGGTCGTCCAGCCCCTCTGGCAGCGCCTCCCCCGCCTCCTCCCACCCCGCCGGCCGCACCAGCGCCGCCACGTTGAAGAGCTCGTCCGGCCCGCGCCCGCGCGCCCTGTGGCCCGTCAGCACCAGCCGCTGCACGCCCGACCCCGCGGTCAGCTCCTGCAGCGCCGCGTGCGCCTTGCCGGCCGCGCTGCGGCTGCGCTGGCGCAGGTCCAGCGCGACGGCGCACCAGGGCAGCGCGCGGAGCGCGTGCAGGTCCGAGGACGCGGCCTCGTAGGTGGTGAGGACGACGTCGGGCTTGGGGACGCGCCCGCCAGACGCGGCGCCGCGGGCAGCGGCGGTGAGGACCGCCGAGTGGCCGACCTGGGGGTTCGGTCGGTTGGGCGGTTGCTCGGTTGATTAGTACGTTGCTTGGTTGGTTGACGGCTTGGTCTTGCGATTGGTGGATTCGTTGAGGCGCGGGCGCGGCGGCTGGAGGGATCAGCCGTCCAAGCTGAGGGTATGTGGGGGGCGCCCGCCTTGTGCAATTGCTGGCCCGCCCGGACGGGCCAAGCGCCCCGGGCGCTCGGCGCGCTCCAGCGCGGGCGCGCGCGCGCCGCCCTCAGCCACAGGGGGCCAGTTGCGCAGGAGACCCGCGGTGCTGGGGCCCACCTTCCCGTCCATGCTCGATGCCTGCAGCCAGAGCTCGTGGTCGTGCAGCGCATTGCGCGCCGCGACGCTGCCGCTGTAGGCCACAATGTTCGCGCCCTCGGGCAGCCAGAACGCCAGCTCGCCTGCGCGGCGCGGTTCGGGCGGCGGGGCGAGGGGCACGCAGGGAGCAGGTTTTGCGTGTGCGTGCGGGCGTCCGGGGCGGAACGCGGGAGGCAACGCGCGAGAGCGTGAGTGGATCGGTGGCGTTAGACGCCAGAGTCAGGGCCGAG